GCGCGCGCTGGTCAACCCCGCGCTACGCACGTCCTGCCCACCTACGCCACGTACGCCATCTGCGCACACCGCCCGCACATCCGCGCGCTGATCATTTTCGCTCGCCCCGCGCGCATTATGCTCGAGTGCGCGTACTTCGGCCGTCCCTCGGGCTTGCCTCTTGCGTGCGTGATATGCCCGGCTCGCAGCGTTCTTGAGCTGCCTAGCCACTTCCGCATCACGCGGCCTGTGCGCACGTTGCCAGTCACGCTGGCTGACTGATGCGGAAGTGGGTTCCGAGCCCCAACGACAAGAAGATCCAAGAGGCGAGACAAACTGAGGATGCTGAAAATAGGGCCAAAACGACGCACGCATGGCCTAAAAGATGGGTACGAGCTCGTATGCGGGGCACTCGAGCACATAAGAAGTGGCAAATACAAAGCAGTAGACAAAGGCGTGCACACGCCTATTGGCGTAGACGCGCATGGCGATTGGAGAATAGGCGGAGTGGCGCGCAGCGGGAGGTTGTTGGATGGATGGCGCGCGAGAGGGATTGCTATGGGCCAATGAACGGATACGTGAGTACATGCGGGTGGGCAGGTACGAACCAGCAGCGCGCATCGGGACTTGATGCGCGCGAGAGGACGAGCGAGTGAGAGGGTGCGTGCGAGGGGTGGAGCGATACGCGGATGGCGTGGGGTGCACGGGTGTACGCGGTAGGCGATCCGAGCACGGGCATTGGCGGAACGCGCTGGGCGTCGTATGGGAAGCAGGCGTGGTGCGCTAGGCAAGCGAGTGGAGGTGACGCAGGCGATGGTCTAGACCGCGTAGGCATAGGAGTGCTGGACGATGAGCGCGGGGCGCACGACGACACGCGCGAGGCACAAATCAAGACTGGGGTGGCAAGCCTAATCCTCGTAGGAATAGGCAAGGCGCGAATACTAATCCTCGCAAGAATAGGAAAAGCAGTTGAGTGCCAGAACGCAGGTGGGAGATCGGTGACGGGAGTAATTCTCGGAAGATCAGGAAACGTAACCGAGAGCCTATTCCTAGTAGGAATAGGAATAGTAGATATGGGCTCGAGGCATGATCCTACAAGGAATAGGAATGACGCATGTGGGGCGCGAGGCCTTAAGCCTCGAGGCGAGAGGACATACATGGGCGAAGGCGGTGCAGCCCTAGTCCTCGAGGACTAGGGCAAGGCGTGAGGGCGGCGGACGCATGGAAGGCGGCGAGTGGTTTTAGGCGTGTGGAAGACTTGGGAGCATTCTAGAATTGCTCGGTGTGCAAGCCAAGCATTAGTTATTTGGTAGGTTTAGGATTTTATTGCTTTCTAGTGTTAGGATTTCTATTCTTGCAAGATTTAGGAGATCTAGTAGAGTTAGGCTTAGATTTATTTTGCAACTATAAATACCCCATGTACCTCATCATATTTTATAAGTTGAATGAAGTATTGAATTGGTGAGCCAATCTTGAGGGGGAACTGATGTTCTTAACGTGTGTTTAAACAAGGCCGTTAGTGCATGTTTACATACAGTGTCGGAGAGAAGGCCGTTAGAGCGTCTTGAAGTCACGGTATCTAGGAGAAGGCCGTAGTGCGTCTGTTAGATACACCTATCGTGGATAAACGAAGGCCCTGAGTGCGCCGTTTATTCATACCCGAATAGAGTAAGGACACGATCCGTCATCATTGGTGCTTTCATTGAGGGGTGCTGATCGTGTTCTTTATCTATCTATCTTTTTTCTTTTTTTTTCCGTTTGCCTTTTGCTGAGGGGCTGAATTTCTCTTTATTTTTTGTTGGGGTTCGAATTTTTTGGTTCGAATTTTTCCTTTTATTTTTCGAATTTGAGTCTTAAAAAAAAAGTGTCATCTTGTTAGTCATTTTTTTGATTTTTGTTCGGTTATTACCTTTTGTTGAGGGGCCGAATTTCTTTTTATTTCGATTTTTTTGAGTCTTGTTGGGGGTTCAATTTTTCGAATTTTTCCCCTATTATTTTCGAATTTTTATTTAGAGTAAAAAAAAAAGAGTCATGATGTTACCAATAGATCAGTGGGATCATGAAGATCTCGAATATTTGGAAGGTTTGGAGAGGGAATTAACCCCTTAGGAGCGAGATTATTTGGAGGAGATGTACGAGCAAAAGGAGGAGTATGAAAGACAACTCAGGATCATGGAGGAAGGGCAACAAGTCGAGGTCAAGAAAGAGATCTTGTTCGCGGTTGAGGAGGGCCTTGGCAAGGTAACGTGCGTGGCGGACAAAGTGTTCGACATCAAGAGTGAGGGCTTGGTCAAAGGCGACGAGGAACCTACGTTCTCGTCCGAATTTCTAGGATACCTTGAAGAGGAGTCGTT